GGTGTGTACTTTATAATATGCAAATCATAAATTTGTATAGAAACTTTTTGTATGTATCTCTACTTAAGTGCTCATAACTTCTACGTTTATTATTCAATTAAGATGAGCAGGGCCTTATTATAGTAAATGAAGAATCATGCTTTGACGTGCAAGAATCTAAAAGTTAACAGGTTATTTCATGTGGATATTTTTACCGAATGATACTTTTTTTATTATTATTATTTTTTTTTACATATGCAAATTGTCGATGAATCAATGACTAGCGCCTAAACTACTAATCCCTTTGGAAAATATCGTTGATGCAGAAGTTAGTAAATTTAATTTGCTTCACTACTGTAGAAAGAAATTTGAGATCGGCCAGCTATATAAAAAAAAAATACACAGTTAAAAGAGTACACTTTTTCACATCCCTAAAAACCGAAATTTGGCTATATCTCAAAAGCTATTGCAGTTTATTATATTTTGACTACATACATATTCAGATTCAGCGAAAAATTTTACATGACAAGTAACCCTCATTTTTCTCCATGAGTATGCGATTCATTTCATATAAATACCACCGTACCAGCTTCCCGAACTTTTCCAGAGCAATGTATGTAGTATGAAAAATTCGGTTTGTATGGCAGGTGCCACGCCCTTTTTTCCAATAGCTCTCATTTTTCTCCATGAGTATGGTATTGATTTCATATATCCCCATACCAAGTTGCAGTACTCTACCACGAATACTTCCAGAGATATGCAGCTTGAAAAACTCGGTTTGTATGGACGGTGCCACGCCCTCTTTATGTACCTAAATATTTTTCAGCCTATAACCATCCTTGGAAAGTCTGCAGTAGGTGTCCAAATTTCAAAAAAATCGGTGGAGAATTTCTCAAAATATATACATATTAGTATAGATTTACTTTGTAGCGCCATCTTGTGGTTCTTCAAATAAGAAATAGATATCAAAAATTAATTCTTCGTATCAAAAAACCGCCAAATACAAATTTGTATTAAAAAAAATGTCATTCGTAAAACTTTACTAAATACAAGTATCGCCCCGTTGTCGAAATTCGACCACTTCACTTTTTTTCACACACTTTTTCATTTTTCCTGGGAAGTTTTTTAGGTCCAACAGCACCTGTTAATCGTCTAGCTCACTTACATATATTGTTTGGTGGAGTAATATACATTCTGTTAAATAATTTAAAAATTCATAAATGGTGAAACCAAATCAGGCACCGACCGGAAAATAATAACTTTCGAACAAAAGAAGCATCATTCAAATTGCATTTTTTGCAGGTGTATTTCTCTTGATATTCATAATATGTATTTTGAATTTGAAGCAAATCGGACCATAAATGAACTTCATTTCGGAATAACTCCACTTCTACTCCACCTACTGAAAAAACAAACAAAATGCGCCCCTCCCCTTTGAAATAGCTTTCGAACAAAAATTGGAATAACTCGGCTCTGGAGCCACCTATCGGGTCCATTCTTTGCAGGTGTATTTCTCTTGATGTTAATAATATGTATTTTGATTTCAATTAAAGATATCTTCTTTTAAAATTGCACCGGCTCGAAATTAATTTTAGAGCTATGGTCTAGAGCAGTGCTCGTCAAACTTTTGAGTGTGACGGACCGGCTGCAGTTTTTCTATTACGTCGGGGACCGGTACCTTTTTTTATTGATTATTTTTCGTTTACGATCATCTCACATATGTATTAAAATTTGTTTAAATGAATTTCTTTATTAGCCGGGTGTCTATATATGACCTATTACCATTTAATGATAGCAGATATTAGCGATTTTTTATGAATGTTTAACAAATTTAAGTTGTTTTTATTATACAAGTTGTATATAGCCTCATTAAACAGTAATATAAAACATCAAAAAATCGTTGTCCATTTCGCGACGCCCTTTGCGGACCGGCGACTTATGGCTTACGGACCGGCACCGGTCCGCGGACCACCACTTTGACGAGCACTGGTCTAAAGGACTTTTTTCTTAGAATTTCATGTAGAATCCGAATCTGCTAGAAACGATGTCGAAAAAAAATTTACCCGCCCTAACATACATACATATGTACGTATGTAAAGTATATGTACGAGCCGATATGCGTAAGATACATATTTTGTGTGTTGCATTGTTGCAAAATTTGAGGCATGCGACATTGAACCTGTCGCCTGACTATTGGCATTCATTTGAGAGTTTTGACCTTTTTACTTTGTTTTGATTTCTTGTTGTTATAGCTGTTATGTCAAGGACCTCATGTTTGATGTGATGTGATCGAAATACGAGCTGTTTTACATACATACATATGTATGTGTTATATCATGTGAAAGGAAGGATCGACATTGAAAGCTTTTTCGAGTAGTTTTAGTTGAGCAAACGATTGTTTTAAGTCGTTGTTTTAGCACTATTGCAAACGTACTATTTATGTAGGTATAAATTTGGAAAATATTTTTTTCGTTGCAAAACATCTTCTATTTTTATTTCTATACATGCCCACTTAAATAGCTGTGGACTTCCAACACTTATGTATGTTTTTTTTTCACTTTTATTTAGCCGATACAAGAACAATCCAATCCAATGAAATTTTTGAATAGAATTATTCTCTAACATATGTTAACCCTCTTTAAAGATTTGCTATTTTGAACAAAAGTTTTCAGAAAACTTGGCATCATAAGTCATTCGATTTATTCCAATTTGTCTACAGTTTCATTAACTCAACGAATGCAAATACTTAGCTAGACTTTCTGCCAACGTACAACCCTTAAATCTTTTCCAGTTATTGCTAAGCGCAATATTCACCGAGTTTCAGAACCTGGCTTCGATAGTCAAAAGTCGGACTGCCAATAAGTGGTTGCGGATGAGTCCTCTCTAGTTCTCTCTCTCTCTCTGGTTCAAAATCTCATATGGTAGTCCTGAGTGACCTGGCACCCAGGGCAGAGCCATGCCAGGTTTTGTAGAAAAAGCTCCCGTATAGCACTAGGCGGCTATTTCTGGAAGTAGGACAAACATATATCTGAGGCTATTGATTCAAAGTTTACTCGACCATGCCACTGATAATGAGTCTGATCATTGAAGTGTATATCCAAACCCCACGTTTTGCCATTGCCAAAATGGCGTCAAAGCTTTGAAGCACCAAAACTCAGACGTGAAACTTCCATGAAAGTTGGCATTGAGAATTACTCATAGACCCTTTATTTTATAAGAAGTCTGAACTGTGATGGATATTCAGCCATCCAACCTTCTCCTTCTAGTGGACAGCGCAATACTATATCGGGCAGTCAATTCTCAATACACCAAGTGTCAATCATATATTTTTTCTTTGCGCTCCCCTGCAAACAACTGAAAGATAGTGACATGTAATGAGAAGAGAATCAATGGCACAATAAGACCAGGAAATTATGGTGTCTGTTGATGTGATAGCGTTTCCATGCCTTAAAAGGGCCCATACATGATACCAACATGCTGGCGCCATCAAGTCTTATCTTATCTAAAATAATATTCTGTTGACAGTGCACAAACATCATCCGCGAAAGCTTGGAAGTGAACGAAGTCTTGCAATTTATGTTAATAGGGAGTCCACCACCAAACACCACAACATCGATGAGAGTGTCCTCTCTCAACGTCTGCCATGGTAAAAAGGCTAACTTCATCCCAACAGTCAGAAATCTTCTTGATAACGTGACGTGAATCCACCTAATTATTGTTTCTAAGACGCAATTATCAATTCTATTGGGTATAGTGATAGAACACTGCTTGAATTGCAGTTTTTAATTAGTCCTGAGGAGCTCACCGGAATCGACATCCACCACCTACGAAACATCATTCTTCACACACAATTTTTTTCACTTTAGTTTAGCAGTTACCGTTGGCAGTGATATCACAAAGGACCGGTGATAGTGGTGCAAGTGAATAATCACCTTCACACACATGATCGCGCAAAAGGATAGACAGACGGAACTAGTTCTTCCTTTGTATGTACGAGTACATATGTCACACAAACATGAATGAGGACAAACAATTCCATCTAGAAAATGACACTGAAGATGACACTACGCCGAAAACGCTTTTCTCCAAGGTACGACGGAAATCCATTCCAAAACACATCATCTTTTTACCCTGTCAGAAGAATAAACCAACGTAAACAAAACTTAACCTAACTCATGGTGAAATTATACCAGGTGCAGTAATAAAACAGCTTTTCGCTTTATTTTCTTAGGTTATGTTCACACAGAAGGCGGAGCCGAACCGAACGAAGCCGTTCCGAGCAAAGAGAAGCTTTCAAATTGCTGTAGCTATATGAAAGAGCTGAAAGCAAAACACTTTTTGATATGGAATTTTCTATTTAATTCTTCCTGATGCTGCTGTAAACAAAATAGCAAACTATTAAAATACAAACGAATTTTACAACTAATCTTTTGAATAAAATTTTGCGAATATTTTTCCCGCTTTTCATTGACAGTGAGTATTTTGGTATCTTTGCAGCAGAGTCCATTGGAAAAGCTCCGCTTCACACCGTTCAGTGTGCAGCTTCGCTTTGTTCCGGCTTGCTTCGCTCGGCGCCGCTCGACTTTTTTGTGTGAACGCGCCCTTAGTTTTCTTGGCATTCTTCTATCCTATCGAAATTTTTCAAGCAAATTTTCATATAAGATAGTGTCAAATAGTTCTTCTCTTCTCTTACTACACCTGCAGTGGAATTCTGCCAAATTTCCATCGCTAAAGCTCTCTAAATGAAAATGAGTGGGGCCTAAAAGTATGTAACATCAGCCAAATCTGGCAGTGTGGCCGACATGCAACTACATAGATGTTTCGTGTTGTTAAGGACGTCTGCTATTCTTTCGGAGATTTCTGGCGATCAAAATTAGCGATAGCAAATGTTGGAATCCGGCTGCTGGTATAATTCCACCACAAACCTAACTAAGCGATATTAATTCGAGGAAATAAACTTTTTTTACGAAATTGTCACTAGCTATGTAATTGTTTTAATTTCAGAAATGACAAGCACTTACCCGATTGGCTACCGCCAGCAATTTGACGCATCTCCTTGGTGAACTCCTTATTACCAAATTGACAGGACAAATCATGTACGGTGCGCGCCTCGCCCTTGTCCATGAGACGCTCAAGGAAAAAGAGCAGCGTCATGTTACGTGCATTCTCATAGCCCTGCGAATCCATATTAATAATCGTATTTGCGTTGTATTCGTAGAACAAAGCTAAATCGATTTTAGTGAGAGTAGACTTTAGCGATAGTGGATTTAGGTTCGTTCACAAGTTCACACTTAAATTGGCTAAATTTTTTATTAATTTTTTATTAAAAAAAAAATACTTCTTTTATTTATTTTTGCTAATTTTTTTTTAATTGATTGGAATTTTCCAGCACAGATTATCACTGCGCGATGTTTGTAACGGCAAGCGAGGGAAGCACGTTTGTAAAAATTTTATTTTATTTATTTTTGTTTTCTTAATTTGCTTCCGTTGACTTTATATTAGTTAAGGCAGTTTGAGAAACACTGTTTATCACAGAATACACGTCTTTCGTCAAACGGTATTTTATCTTTTAATTTGGGTGCTTATTTTTTTCGTTTTTTGTTTTTGTTTTATGGGTAGAATAATATGAATGGTGTATGAATTGTAGATAATAATGCGCTGAGTTGTTGTTTTGTTAGCTTATTTTAATTTTTTTTTTGCGACTGTTGCTATTTTAAATTCTTTTCATTTTCTCGTTTTTTTTGCACGTTGTTGCTGCTGTTTGCTGTTATTATCTGCAAGAAAAGGTAAGAAAAACTTTAATTGCTAAAGGAATTTGTAACGCTAAAATTATGCAACCAAAAAGAGTTTGAAGAACTGTAAAATATGTAAGATTTTAATGGCCTTATTCATAAAAAAATAAAATAGGTTTAAAGAGCTTTATAAAGTGGCAAATTATGGATCTATATTTTTTTTTATTTTTATGAATTTGGTTGTAAAAAGTTTAATTTTTTTAAATTTTAAATAATGAACACTTGTATTTTTATATGTATACGCCACCTTGTAATTACGCACCTTCAACGCTATTATTTTACGCACTGAAAACGGGAATTTCGCGACAGGTTTCAAAACGTATCGACTGCACCGCTCGCTAACCACCGCTCAAATAGTAAGCAGACAAAAAACACTGACAATAAACACCATAGCCATGATTCAATAATACAAGGTTAGATAATTATTGACAGCTGCGGTTTGACACTCCCTTACAAAAGGTTGCATTTGCGAAAGACAGAGAAAGGGCAAGAACGCAATCCCTTGTTGCGAAAATGGTAGTAGAAAAGTACGCAAAGTAGGCAATTAGTAGTGAAATTCCTTTTGTAAATTCTAATGTATTTGCAGGAAATCTGGCATTTTAAACGAAATATTGAACGTAATATTGATTTACCTACGTGAATTACGTAATTTATATGCTATTTAGCTGTATAAAAAATGCAAAATGACTCAAAATTAAAATAAGACTACTATGAAATTGATGTAAACATCCAATGCTTATGTTTTCATCAGTTAAATATGCTTCATACGCATCAACAAATAAACATATTGCACAAAAGCTTATACTTTTATTTCACACCAAAGCTACACTGTTTCCAAGTAAATTTGCAAAGAAGCAACACGGTGCCACTGCTAAGGGAGCGGTGCGAGAGAGACAACTGTCAGTTTATCGAACCTTGTATTATTGAATCATGCACCATAGCAAGATAAGGAATATACAAGTGGCAGGTTATGTGCGCCCCCACCTCACCGGCTGAATGTGTGGAAAGCACGGCATACTTATTTCTGGATTCTGCGCAAATGTGCAGCAAATCAGCTGTTCCGACAGTTGTGTGCTCCAAAGAGCCGCAACTAGTAGTACGTACGAGTATTTGTTTTCCTCGTCATGACATCGACCGTTTCGACGCTTACGCGTCAGCCACAGTCGACGCTATCATTGCAGCGCTGGTTCGGCTTCCGCCGCTGCTCGATTCTTCTTCGTTGCTTTGCGCCAAAAAAAAAAAAAAATTGTCGTTTTTGCATTTCCGCTACCAATTGGACGCTTTTCGTTGTGCAATCAAATAAGCTTACACATTCTCCCCGCATCCGGCTCTACTACAAAATAGTAGGTTGTTAACTTCTATGCTCAGGCTACTCGAAAAATGTATGCCAAAGAGCACACAGCGATGAAATACGACAAAAAGCGAAGATTTTGGAAATACTTTCTACATTTGCCTATTACCTACCATTATCTTTGTGGAAATATGTAGGTACTAAGTATAATTAAAGTGACCAACTATTTCATAGCTAAAAGAATTACAGGACCTGAGAACCAAAAATAGTATGAAAGTGATGAGAAAATGGTAAAAGCAGAATATACAAAAACAAATTCAATAACAGTACGAAATTAGCGTATAAACAGCAATTTAAAAAGAATTTTTTTAGACAAGCTTTTATTAGTGGTTAAATCGGTACATATGAATATGTACATACATACATATATGAATGTAGTGGTGAAAGCGACGGGAAATGATTGGTGTAAAGACGAAGAGATAAGAAATCTGAAGAATATTTACCTATAAACATTTCGCGCAGGGCAAACCAAGCACAGGTGTGTGACATGGATTTTAGCAAAATTGGATGAGCAAGCGGAGATACATAAATAGCGAGTACTGAAGTTAGGCGAATGCCAATTTTCTCCCCATTTTTTAAAATACATATTATGTATGTATTGCGGAAGTTAATTTTTTCGGTTTTTACGATCCCGGGTTTTTCGGGATGCCGGGGTTAGATATTCATTTCTTTTCAGCAATTTAAATCGAGAAAATTGCGTCTATACTGTTTGATCAGCTCTCCTACCATAAAATAAATAATAAATAAATGGGTTTGAAACCTCCTTTTTTTATTTAAAGAGGAGTTTTTATTTTTTCTTTTATTCAAAAAGACCAGGACCTCGGGATTAACATTCTTGGTATGAAAAAAATATAACTCCGCATGCATAAAACGAAGTTGAATTTAACGTTTGTTAAGCTATTTCGATAGGTGCTATTTCCGTTACCACTTTTCGTGAACGGTTACCGGTCAAAATTCGCGGTTCTCCTTAGAACCGGCAGAACCTGTTCCTTGAGTACTCGGGACCGCACATAACTACTTTACGGTATGTATGTATCTCTTTTCACCTCCTTCGCTTACGAGCGAGAAGACTTGAAAGCATGACTTGGCGGGTCTGAAAGAGCAACTAGACTAGAGCAAAAAAGAATCAGTATTGTCAATTTTGGGGTTCTCCTTGGTAAGATTACTTTCTCTTGGGAGCTCGATAGCTAAAAATGGAAATGAAAATAAGTTCTTTTTTTATAATGTTTTGTAAATACTAAAGTATGGCGTTTTGATTAAGAACCCTTTTTATCATTATCTTCAGCTCCGATAATTAACATTTTTCGCTAAGATCAAATTTTTCATTTGCACTATCCCTACTTCATAAAACGTAACCTATCGTATATCTCTGTGACTATGACGATTGACGATAAAATTTTTTAACAGTTGACCTGTTATGGGTTTAAGAATAGAATAACAATTCTACATCAAAAAACTAATTTCCAAAAATATATCGCTTACGTTAATTTCGCGGTTAGGGCTCGATATATTTGAGACCAATTGGAGAATCAAATTTTAGTTCAAGTCGAGAACCAGCATTTTCTCAACTTGAGAATCAGTCCTATTTTCATAAAAAGAAAATGCCAATTTTGTTGAGTACCTCCACTTGAGGTACTGTTGAGAAACAACATTGAAGATTTGAGAAATATCTTAGTTCTCAACTTAACCTCAAGTTGAGCTCAAAGCTAATTGTTTGCTGGGTAGGGATTATTGTTGCAAAAAACTTGAAAGAGTAGTTAATTTAGGGATAGCCATTAATCCTGCTAAATTAATTTATACACTTTATATAACCTAATTTTAGTATAAAGAGTAAGCGTATGAACAGTTTCAGATGTAAACCTTCAAAAAGACTGATTATAAAAAAACACATCTTCATACGATAACAGCGACGAGTGTATGTACTGAACAGCAAACGAACGATAATGCAGTCAAATACCAGTTATTCAACACAAAATTACTCCAATTTCGGCAGCGCTGATCAATGAAGTCTTGTCATAGAGGAAAACAAGTTAAAACAGCAGAAAAATCTAAAAAAAAAATGAACTGTCTCTAGCACAAACGAGCATAACAAACGAAGAAGCATTGACTGAAGAACTGAGCAGTGTTGCCAGAATTATAGAATTATCTTCAAAATTAAAATATTTTTCATAAATAATCAGAAAATTCTTCAAATGAAGATAATTACAACAAAATAAAATTTCGCACAAAAAATCTTCACAGTTTAGATATCTGGCAGCACTTGAAGATTTGTTTTTGGATAGTTGGCAACAAATTTTTCGTTTTTGTCATCAATTTACTGCTGCACATGTGAAAGTAGGACAGCTAGGATTCTATTCACAAATATGGATAGCAAAAAAATAAAACGTCCAACCGGGCCCACTGTGTACACTGTGGTTTTTGGTAGTTCGCACTGGTAAGTGACAAAAAACTTTCCGTTTTTTCATCAGTTTACCTTAAAGGACAGGTAGATATGTACCTATATATTTGACTTGATTTTCCCTGTAAAAATTCGCGCTCAAACTCGGCATTGCGCAGCTCAAACTTGGCGTTGTCAATTCCATAACATAAAAATTATGAAGCGATATTTGTTAAGGCAAACTTTATAGAAACATCATCATCATCATCATCCGATATCGAGGATGAATGCACAGATCCGGAGAGTTTTTTCTCAAATAAACTTGAACAAATAAAGTTGAAAAATTCCTAATAAGCTGGAAACCACTACCTTTAGTAGTGTTCTTTATACAAAGTATTATTTAAAAAGTACGGTCGTTAGTGAGCTTTAAATGAGAACAAATATTTATAAAAACATTTCCAAAGTACAACTTACGAGACTTAAATGGACTGTATATTTTTACAGTTCTATGCAACTTTTTCTTAATTGCCATGCTTGAAAATATATGCACTCAGAAAAATAAATATATACTTCTCTAAACACACGATTTGGTAACTAAATATTACCAAATCATGTGTTGAGAGAAACATTTTGTTGACGTAACTTAACGCTTTTCTCAGTGTAGTTATAAAAGTACTCGTAAAACTACTTGTTTTTTTTTTTTTGTGAAATAGTTAAGTAAATTTGTTATGAATTCATGAGATTGTTACAGTTTTGGTAATTTAATCACTAAATTTATAGTCTGTTTGTGGTTTCATTATTCAATTTTTAATTTTATTATGTAAACCGCAAAATTCGCATTATAAAAACTCAATTTGTTTGTGTGTTGTAAATCGAATTGTTATTTTTGTTTTTTATTTTTTAATAAAATGTGTTATGGTGTTGTATAAAAAACAATGAAAAAAGTTTAAGTTTATTTGATATAAAGTCTTCAATTAAGATATTTCTAAGGAAAAAAGATTGTTTCCCAATTTCAGTAACCTTTTTATGGGTTTTTGAAGATTTTATTATCACTTGGAAGATCTTTAATAAAATTTCTCTGACAACACTGGAACTGAGTTCGGTACACTAGAAGAAGAATTACTGGGTATCCGCCGTCGCTGTCGATGTCGACGACAAGCGAGACGCTCACGTCGGCACAAACGCCGAAGTCGATGTCAACGCCACTGTGCGAAGACAAATAATGCACGATACTAAGTTAAGTAAAACATGTTTAGGTGTTTATATGAATGTATGTAGGAATGCAATTGCAAACACTGTTTTTTGTAGATATGTATAGACATACGAATGTATATATGAATGTATGTATGTGCATATAAAGGTATGCATATTATGTGTCGCTCAACAGAAAAAGACAGAAGACAGTTAAAAATTACTAATTTAATGGAAAGTCGAATTAGGTGAAGAAGAAACTATTCAATTAGCTATGCAAAGTCTGGCCAATGAAATACAGTGCATATAATGCGCGAAAATTAAAGAGAAAAGAAGTGCTCAAAAGCAAATAAGAAAGCTCAACAATAAATTTTGCAAAATAGGTTGTGAGCAATGTTAATAAAATTTTGCATCACTTTGCTAAGAGAAAAAATCATGAGTAAGAACCTGCGCACATATGTGTGTATGTATGTATAAACATACATACATATGTACATGTGGACTTACTTGCGTACATTCGTGTTACATATGTATGTATGTATATACATATGTATACATATATGCATCAACTTACATGCTTGTTAATGTCGTAGCTATTTTATTCTGAGTTGTTGTTTGCAATTAATTTGTTTTTTTAATTAAATCACATTTAAAAGGCACTTGTTTCGATTATTTTTTATTTACTTTATAAAAAACACAGTAGAAAAACTTTTTCAGCACGATATCGATCCTCGTGAGGGGATTCTTTGCAATTCGTTTGCAAAATTAACCAAAAAATCGCGTTTCTCCGTTATTTGTTTTTCACCTTTCACACTTTATTGAGACTCAAGAAAAAATCAAGTACATACGATCTACTACGTTGAGATTTGCGTGGCTTACGCGAGCGAAAGGAAACCTTAAGAGGACAGGTATGTATGTACTTAAATTTTCCCCTTCACCTGTTATTTGGCCACTTATTTTGAGTGCTCAAAATGTATTTTAACACTGCACTAAGCACTTTTTATATAATTTCAATAATTTTTCTGTAGGATGATGGGTGTAGCTAATGAAAAAACTAAACAGACTTTTTCCAAATAAATAGCACACAACAACGACCGAAATGACAAAAACGATGATGACAAGGCAGCGACGGCGCAACAACTGAGGACGGCAGCGACTCAGCTGGCGTTTGGCTGTCAAAAGTGAACCACGGAAACTCCGAAGTACAGGGTTGCATTCGCCGGTGAAACAACAGGTGAATTTGCATGCAGTAGAATTCTAATAAGATTTTGGATTAAAAATATATCGCGTCTAATAGAACAAGGAGACGGAAATATTACAAAGAGAAAAGGAAATGTTGAATTGAATAAATTTTAGACAACCAAAGCGATGCGATTAAAAAGGAATTAAAACATTTTTTCAAATCACTATTAAATACGGATGTCATATGTTTTTTTGTAAGATACTCATATACATACATACTACATATGGATACGTAAATAATTCTTCATTAATTTATTCGTATTCGATTCTGAGTCTCATTCATTGTTTACTCCCAAAAAAAAAAATTTATACACGTATTTTCATAACCAAATGGAATTTATTTAAAACTTGTTTGTAAGTGTAAAATATTAAACTTTCAGCTTGGTCCACTTTTCACTAACAGCCCATAACCACTTTGCTAGTGCATCGTCCAAGGCAGCAGGCGCTACGTCTTTCAAATTGCAGTCACTAAAATATTTTCCGGACACATTAATTAATTCTGGATCCAAGGCAGCATAAAGTGTAGTTTGAGCACCATTCTGAGGTGACTTAATGAAGGGCCAAAACAGCGGTTTGAAAACTAAGCTATAAATGTACATACGCAAATGCATGTTTTTTTTATTGAAATTATAGTCATGAAATTAGAATATATAAAAACATACATACATATGTACATACGAACCTTGCAAAGAAACTATTGAAGAAGCCCATGTGTCTAAAAAGTTCCGTATCCACCACGCCAGGATGCAGCGCATTAGCTGTAACGCCAGTACCTATTAATTGTATAAAAACTCCTCATTTAGCCATTATGTATGTACATAAATATGTATGTAGTATAAGTCTGCTACATTGCATCACCTTCCAAGCGTCTAGCAAGTTCACGAGTAAATAATATGTTTGCCAATTTACTTTGATTATAAGCTGTGCCGGGATCATATGATTTATCGCTATTCAAATCGGCTACATTGATTTCTCCACGCGTATGTGCCAAACTAGAAACTGTCACTATTCGGCTTGGCGCAGATTTCTAAAATGAAAGACTTTAAATAAGATACATAGGTACGTAATAACAAACAATAAATTCCTCCTTACTTTTAGCAAATCCAGCATTAAATTAGTAAGTAGGAAGTGGCCCATATGATTAACACCTAATTGCATTTCAAAACCATCCTTGGTTAGCAAACGCGGGCAACGCATTACACCAGCATTGTTAATAAGAATATCGAGCCGTTGTTGTTCTTTTTTAAAACTGTAGAGGATATCAAACATTTTATCGTGGATATTGGCAGGTTGTTAATTTAAACGTAACCACTCACCTCTCAACAAATTTCCGCACCGATTCTAACGATGCCAAGTCACATTGCCGGCAGTAAACGTGTTTATTATAGGTTTCTAAAACAATTTCATCGCGAGCCTATAAAGAATTTCCCTAGAGTACATATATACATACATATGTAAGTGACGATTGGTATAAGATTACCTCTTCGCATTTCTGCATATCACGACAGGCCATGTAAACCGTGGCGCCACGTTTGGCCAACTCCCGTGCGGTCTCCTTACCGATGCCTGTATTCGACCCTGTCACAATGACTACCTTATTTTCAGCTTTTATCGCATTTTTAAACCTCTCTCCTTGCATCAAATCCCTAATTGAAGAAAGTAAATGTGTAACTTTGGAATTGGAGGTTGTATTTCGACAAAAGCCTACATACATACTTGATAAAGAACGCAGCACCAATCGTGGTGCCTGTAACACTTGCCCAAAAAATGGGCCGACTTTTGAGAAACGAAAACATCCTTTAATTTACAACTACCATTAATTTAATTTACAAAGTGTTAGTTAAACTTTTAAACAACCAACTAAAAACAAAAAGCACTTCTTGGGTGTTGCACAAACCTCTTTCACCGGCTGATCAGGTGGCAAACCAACAGCTGATACAGTACACTCAGAAAAAAAGAACGAAAGTGAGAAGTTTTAATTAAACAAACTAACAAAAAGTACATTTCCACTCAAAACTATGTAGTTATATAACTAAAAAAAAAAACACGCAAATAACTTTAGATGTAAAATATATAGACCCTAAAATATATAAGGAAACCCAAATGAATACTTATCAGCAGTGGAATTTTAAATATCGCTGCGCTAAATAAAAATAAATAGAAAGCAGTTGGGCCTAAAAGTATACACCATGAAAAAGCAACATATGCAATGTGTATTCATGCAAATCTGGCAGCATGAGGAGCATTTAACTGGATCTAGCATGCTCAGACGAGATGCTGCGCGTGACAACACATCCTTTTCTGGCTCCAATATTTTTTTTCACGTCGTCAAAAAGGTGCATTGTCTAACGTTGTCGTCATGAAACTCCTTTACTATTGACAAATTCAATCACACTTTCCAATCGCCGTTAGTACTCATCATAAGTAATTAACCGTTCGGTTCCAGGAAAAGGAGCTCAAAGATCCTTTTGAATATATTCTGCTTTTAAAGTCGATTGATGTGAATCATAATGCCTGGATCAATACAATTTGCGTTTCACATTGTTTGAAAGAAGTCACTTCTCATTGCCAGTTATCATTTTATTAACCGACTTCCAAAAAAGGAGGTTATCAGTTCGTCGGAATATTTTTTTCTTTTTTTTTATGTATGTTACCGCATAACTTTGGACCGCGTCAACCGATTTCGATAATTATTTTTGCATCGGAAAGGTAGTGTCTCAGAGGTGGTCCCATACTAATCTGGTTGAGATCCGATCAGTGGATCATGAGATATATATATATATATATATTTTTTTTTTGATATGTGAGTTGAAGTCGGTTTTTTTTGCTAAAAATTACTTGTTTTTCACTTTCTTTTAGCTCCTTTTGACTGATTTTCAACGTTTGTTTAACTTGGGACCGTTTATTTTTTCGTCCTCAAGCTGCGTGGGCCTTCCTGATTACCAGCACTAAAATAAGCTGTTGGCAACATACCCAATGACTCTTTTTTATCGACCCAATATATCTATGTAAGTATCTATGTATACATAATTAGTCTGTTCCTTTGAACATCGGACTAAAACCTGTGCAACTGTCAAACTACAATTTTACTCTCTCAAATGAGAGTAAAAGGAGAACAGATGCAGAAGTGCATAGGAACGCAAAAAGCACTATTTCCTGTAAAAACGTCAGTCGGTTTGTTTACATGTCATTGGTACTACACTGATTTGGCTGAAATATCACTAAATAATTATTAAAATCTATACATATTCAAATATTTCGTTGTTTACTTCCATTTTTTAACAAATATAAGGTTCTTTGCATTCACCGCTTTCTGTTTTTGTTTGCACATGTAAATCAGCTGATCGTTTGACACTTTTCATGAACTTACAGGAAAAGAAACTCCGGACTAAATCCTGTAACTTCTGACTAGGAACAGTTGCTCAGTTACTCTCTCAAATGTGTTCCCACTTACAGGTTTTATGTCAATAGGAACGACTTCCTGTAAGTTCTGACTAAATCCTGTAAACCGGACTGCTATTGGAACAGACTAAATATGTATAAGTTGAATTAATGTTTAAGACGCATATATGTACACTCATTTATTGATTTTTATTTATTTATTTAGCAAAAATACACTTAACAATATTATTGTATTTTCAAAGTGGAATATATTTAGATCAATAGTTTTATGGAAATAATATTCAAAAATGCTGCTGCACACAACTCTGCTATGACGCGTTGACACGCCTTCAACTTGTTAAGCTCATTTCATGCTTTTTTACTTTTTTTGCAGTTTTTTTAATCAACTGCGAAGCAATGTTTTTTTAATATTCATGGTTGTAATACAAAATTTTTAGGATAAATGTTATAAACGCCATTGCATTACACGGGTTAAAGTCTAAAAGAAAATTTAAAATGAAAATAAATAGTTTCAAGAATTAGATTGAAGTAATTTAAGAACAAAACATGTTTTAACAAATCATCGCATTCTTAAACCAAATAAAATAAGATAGGAAATTAGTTTTTGCTTACTTGCTTGTTTAAAAGTAATGGTAAAGGTAGTAAACACATGCATACCAAATGCTTTTTTTTCAGGATTCATTTTAAAATATCAGAAGATAATGTTTGGCTTAAGCCATTAAATAAACTGTGATTTTTTTGCGATCATAAGATATTTTGGGACCGCATGTTTTATTTTTTCGATTTAGCAAAAAAAAAATATCTCCAAAACTATTTTTTTTTCGTTCACTTTCTTGGTATCGCTTTAGCATTTAGCTAGTTTAATAAACTTCATACAAATATACATATCTAAGGTGTAAGGTTAGTAGTAGTGTATATGTGTGTATACAAATTGTTATTTCTCGTTTTCGTTAAATTTTTGCGTTTTAATTTGCAAACATATTGCAAAATTGGAAATACTACGTACATTTAAGAAAAAATCCAAATATCGCACTCGTACATGAGGAGAATAATGAAAAGTATATTTTATATTCTTCATAAGTATCTTTGTATGTATGTATGTGTTCTAGTGGTATTGAAATCGTTGCGAAATTTATTTGGTCGCAAATAAAATTACAGCATCATTGCATATGATTACCATTGCATACAAAGTTGCGGTTTCGGCAAATGAATTTGCATTTTAAAAACTAAATAGTAGAGCTTGCAATATTCCGCACTTATTTTGGTACAGAATCGGTTGGTGAGTTTAGGCCGGATGATGAATTGTTTTCGTTTAAGGCATCAGGGAAACTGTTAATCGAACCCGAACGTGAAGTGGACACCCGTGTCTACATAACACACACACACACACACAGTTAAACAGTCAGATGGCGTAAATATAACATGAAACGAGAGAAAGAGAAACAATTGATTAGTAAAAAACACAATATTGATGAAAGCTTAGCATGCAAGATATTAATAGTAAGTTTCAATTTACATATTGAGGTCTTATACATATTCAAATCTCGCTATCTGCCATTTTTATAAAAACGAATTTCTGAATTTGAAGTCGCCAGCGGTTTAGCTGTCACCTCTGAAATCCCATTGTTAATTCGGAGGTGCATTCTTATTCAAAACTTAATTTTTATGAAAATTTTAAGTAATACACAGAAACATACAGATAAGCCCTCGATAGAATACATTTAGGGCCGTTTTGTCAAGTAACATTTAAAATTTATCTGCCCTTTTAACACAAATTTAGTTTTAGAACAACTATTTAAAGGGCAGATTATTTTTAAAAAGCTACTTTAGAAAACGGCCCTTAACTTATCGCTCATTTACTTCAACACTGCCATAACTTAAAAAACCAAAAACTCGAGAAGAACTGTTTTAAAGTTTGGAATTTACATATAATCCATATAAATAATAGTTAATATGTTCTAGTGAGCTACTGGAAATCGGTAAAGCTATGGAATTTTTACACAACATAGAAGAACAGTTCGCGGTCATTTCTACATACTTAACTCGATTTTCTATTATTTTCACACTATTAAAGTAAATGAGCGATATCTACATACAACATATCTATCAGTAGACTTTTGATAAACTAGCATGAATGTACTTAGATAGCTTTTAAGCTGATGAACACAAGTTAAGTATTTAATCTATTAAGCAGTCACTGCAGTACATTTAGATTATATGTCATCTATCTACATAACTTACTAAAAGCTGAATTAAAATATTCAATTTTTTTTAACATCATACACATATTAACCTAAAATCGATTTTAGCTTAATTAGTTGAGATATTTTTTAAAGTTTAATTCGTTTGTTAAAAGTCTACAGATAAGTACATAAAATAAGTTATTCAAAATGTTTTGTGTAAGTAGGTAGGTAAATAGTATTTTTTTGTATAAATTTGAAATTTAATTTTAGCAAACAGTGAGAACAGTGAAAATGTACAAACAAAGTGATTAATAAAAAAAAAAAAAACTGTGTGTTTAATCTCTTTGATCTTGGCGGCCGCAGCCCTGATTGGTAACTTACGTTGAAAGCCTTATTACCACCTAGAATGAGGCAACTTTAATAAAAATGTATATAAATGTGATAGAAAATATATAAAAAATTCCGGGTTCCATTCACATATTTCATTTAAAAGAAACCTAATTTTCACAGATAAAAGGAAGACATTTAAGCTTACTTTTTATGCTGTTCAAAAGATTTCACACTGCATCTGACTTACAGAATTTCAAAAAATGGAAAAAAATCGTTTTTTGACACTTTTACAGACGAAACAACAAACCATGGTGAAATAATAATAAGGTGTTCTCACTTAGGGGGTGGTTGTTGTAATTATGGCAATTTCGGCATACCAGCGTTACAGTAATGCCTACTCTATTCATTCCAATTTCATTTCTGGGCAAAATGGAACAAAAAATGAAGCAGACAATTGTGTGAAAAAATTATGCGTATTTATCACTTACTACGTTTATACGCACGTATTATTTGCAAATAACAATTTGCAAAATGGTAAACTTTGCCGTATAAACGCTGAGTTAATTTTTTATTTGCAAATAACTAAATCACGAAAATAAGTAGTGTAGTAGATTAGTGGTACTATTTGCAAATAAGCGCAAGACGCCGCCATTCTTAGTTTTATTTTCGATGGTCATCTTATTGCCTCCTTTTAATAATCAAGACGTTGCCATTTTTAACTTTATTTTTTTTTTCGATGGTCACATTATTGCCTTTTTATAATGAGGCAATATTAAAATAAAAATTTTCACCATCGAATAAACAGTGAGTTTAAATGTTAACGAAAATAAAGGTCGTAATAAAATTCCCTTTAAAGTTAAGATATTTAAAAACTAAGTACGCATATACGTGTACTTCAGAAATTAAGGAAAAAATAGAAATAAAATTCCATACGGGCTAATATGTCATTTTTAGAAGAATTTAAGAATAATTAAATAAAGAGAACGGTATAACTTAATTTGTTTTAATATGAATAAATGAAAGACGGAAAATAGTCCTTATTTTTTAAGTATTAACCATCATCATATGTGTGTGGTACGACCGTGTGGCCTTAAAGTTTTACAAATAATAATTTTAAAGTAGAAAAAATTAATGAATAATAATTATTAAAATCAATATATTTGATCGAAAAAATAAAAATTAAGTAAGCATAATTTCTTTTGAGCGAAAAAATGAAACTGTAATTACACTGGTTTACAGAAAAAATATTTTATTGATGCAAGCTTCATTTAACTGGTGTGGGGTCCACTCATATATGTATGTATTGGAAATAGTACCCAAAAAGTAGTTAAAATAATCCTGTCTTTTCGCCCTTTTTCTACTACCCCAAAATACATGGCCGCAATTGGCATGCAGAAAAAGTGAGGTTATGTAAGTGACATCACCTTATATTTATTTCACCATGCAACAAACTAAATGAATCGTGCAGAGAAAAATATATGTATGTACTCTGCAGGGAAACCACGGACTAGTGAATCAAATTTCTAGTTTCGTACTAGGTCTTTATCGCCAAAAAGAAACTAGTCCGATAGGAGCTAGATCCCCACCAGTCCAAAATCGGCGAAAAGTGGTACTTTTAAAAAACTATTTTTTTCAGTTTTTTTTTTTCTAGAAATCTATATCTAAAGTGACGAATTTAGAACTGGTTCGGAACTATAGAAAAAAAGATGCAGAACGAACTAGATCTTATTTGTCGAATTTAGAACTAGTTCGGAACTATCGAAAAAGGGATGCAGCAGGGGGCTTGTTTACTTTACATAGATATGTGTTCGGCGGCTTTTTCGTTCAAATACGCTTCTATTCTGCATTTCGCAGATGCTTTTTCATAGCTTGGTAATACAAAACCAAAATTTGTGTTAACATTTCAACATGTTGGGACCGTCTGGAATCTAACAGCGAGCACCTCTGCAAACTTTGCTACAGCTAAAGGTATGTAAACGTACATTTCTTACAATCATTCAAACAAATTTAATTTCAAATTGAAAACACATTTCTTTCAAAATAACTTAATATCGCACACACGGAAGAACCAAAAAGATTGAAAAATCATGATACCTTTTTCTTTCGTCTGTCGATTTTAGAACTGGTTCGGAACTATAGAATTTAGGTCCAGTTCGGAACTATCGAAAAAGGGATGCAGCGGGGGCAATTGACACTTGCTAGGACATCGCCATATTAAATTCGCCAGTTGTTTGCATGCAAAATATATTTATCGCGAACCAGTACTGGGTCTAAATGTACTAGAAGCGCACCAGTTCAGAACTAGAGATTTTCCCCACAGGGTATGTACATACAGTATCGGTCATATCTATAGCACGCCATTTCAAAGTGATATTGTGTGCCACTTATGTTTATTTATTTATTTTTAAGAATTTTCAATTAAAATTTTGTTCATTCTCGGACAAACCCCATATATACCCAAGTTCAACAACTTGTCGCAAACTACAAAAAAGTGTAACAAATTTTCACCTAAATTTCAAACTTTTTTCTCGGTAGTGATAGAATTTTTTTGAGGACACAGTTTTTTAGCCCCTGCAATTTTAGTCTGATAATGTGCAAATTTCATATATTGCATATTTTTATGTCTTGTTTAGTATTTCCATTAAAACACCAAATATATTGCAAATTCGCATAGAATTATTAATACACATTTTACTTCTAATTGTATACTTTTTGTACTTTTTGTAGTACCATTCTACTACCGTTTTCGCAAAATGCGATCACATTCTTTCCCTTTCTCCTACTTCCAAAATACAAATCTGGATAAAGGAGTGTCAAATTTTAGCTGTCACAAATTACACAACCTTGTATTATTGAATCATGTTTCTGACTATGTACAAAACTGTACAAAACCACAAATGATATGATGAGCGATGAGCAAATGGGAATTGTTTTGTACAGTTTATTTTCGTACCCTGATTCTATCAAACAAACACACAGCTTTTTAAAACAATCAAAACAAATAATTTGATATTTTATATTACAAATTTTGTACTAGCTTAGTGTTGTGTCCCGAGTATTTGTTTTTGTTTTATTATAGTTGTGAGCGTGAGTAGGAGAGGCAAGAATCAAATTATTTATAGTAGAGGAAGGTGTTAGATAGGAATAAAAAATAGTTTATAGTTACCGCATGGGGTTGGCACAAAAAATGGTTGTGATCATAGCTTACTTTAACATTCTCATAGGCTGAGCCAACCTTCTCTTCAATCGAACGCATCGATTCCGAGTTTTTCATTTGTGAGAATTTCGATGTTATGCCGCTGGTTATGCTACCAAATACCGATGCGGTCTTTTCCGATGTTGACTTGAGCACCGATTCGGTGCGTTGGAAACTGTAATACAAATGAATAAATATAAATCGGGATATACTTTAAAATTGCGCTAATGAGTTTTTAGAAGTGGATAAGTGATTTGGATGGGCAAAGAAAAAATCACACGAAAAAACATACATAAAAAAAGTTTACGAGAAATGTCGATAGAGATTTCAACACGGTTGTAGTGATTACAATGCCATACATTTAAAAAATGAAATAAATACTTTAAATAAAAAACGTTAGATTGTTAATCTTATTCAAAAAAGGGTTTAAACAATATTTTTAAACACACTGGAGCATAGAAAAGAATGAGATTATTTCTCATGGAATCGATTTGAAATTGTTAGCGTTGAAGTACTTTTTTCATAGATTTTTTCCTTTTTAGAGCTGGTTAATAAATGGATATACATACAAACATATGTAATTAGTTAGTGCGAAAATGGAATCGAAGTGAACCGTTTTAGTAGACAAAGTTGACACAAGTGTTGTTATAGTGTTGGAAGGCAATTACTTACATTGGGGCCTCATGTACGGCCTTTGACAGATTACCAACACTTTGTTCGACGCTTTGATAACTTAAAATTCAACATAAAATTACGAAATTAAATTAAAGAAGTTATAAAAAATGGGTTTTTGATCAACTATAAAGAATTTAGTATATCATAAAGTTGGTGTCTATAAAACTTATGCCAGTTTTTTTTTAATAAAAATAGGTTTAAGCGAAAAACAAAACCGACTAGAATTCTCATTTAAAAATGTGAGATATGAGGTAACACCTTTCCTTTAAAAAATAATTATAGAAATCGGTTAACGTGATCCAAAGTTATGCGGTAATATACATAAAAAAAAAAACAATATTCCGACGAATTGATAACATTTCTCCTTTTTGTGAAGTCGGTTATAAATAAATTAAAAGGAATTTAATTTCCGCATTCGTTTTCTTATATTTTTAAGTTATTTTTGCTGATGAAAAAAACAGCGGGAAGAAACTAGCGGTGCATCGAGTTTTTTCACCAGATCTTTGACAAATTATATTCGATCAGACTAACAGATTTTTAATTATGCCAGCATCTACTCTCCCTAAAACTAGCCGTTGAATATTTCTGCTTGGAATCCCTTTGAAAGATCTTAAACTTCCGACATTAAATAGCGCAGAAAGCAGACGTAGGCGGATAGTAACAGAGGTTTATAGCCAAGGATCCAAAATATATCCCTATAAAAGAATATTGCTCGACGACGCTCGACAAGCAAACAAAATGACTGTTTGAAATTTTTACTAAAAATAAATATCCCGTAGGCCCCACTACAAATAATTCAAAAGAACATAAATTATAGTATATGCATTCTACTTGCATGTCTACTAGTTTTAATTGATTGGTCCATAAAAAAAAATTATAACGAAAGAAAAAAAAATGCAGCTATTAGAAGCGCAGAAAAAAATATCACAATAAAAGATTAATGCGATTCATAAAACGTCGCAAAGTGGCATTTTTGGCGAAATGGCAACTCTGCAAACAAAGTTGTATGAACGACCGATCGGCTAAGTGAAAAAAAAAAGCTTTTACAATTATATGTCGAAGCAGTCTTAACAAATATACTTTTTCTTGAAGTATTCGGAGACAATAAAATAGCATGTGTTTTGCAACTTTGAGTTTGCAATGATTGGCAGCTCAAATATTATGGGAATATCGTAATTTTGTCGCAAGAGAGTTTCCATACAAAAGTAATCAGCAATCAAATCAAACATTGGAAGGGCAACATTTATTGGAAGAAACGAAATGACCATTAGTTTATTTACATAAGGATAGCAAGTACAAAATTTTTAATGTGATAAGCTCCTTTATTTTACGTTTTCTAGCAATGTTGGCACTAACTCGATTAAATTCAATCCAATTACAGTTAATCATGATTAATTTTAATCTGATTAAACCGTTAATCGTAACCGCGATTAAAAGAATTAATTTTTAATCATTAGCTCTTAATTTGATTAAGTAGGTTTGGTGATTAATTAATTTTTGCTGGAATTTTCCTATGCACACAAAGCCAATTCAAATTTTCCAATTTTCTGGCAAAAATTTTCCCAGCACGAATTTGCAACTTCGCCTCCAAATGAAATGTCAAAATTGTGCTCTCTCCTTGCAAGTTTTACTGAGTAACAATTGGTACCAACTGGTACAAGTTTTTTGCATAGCGAACACTCTTATTGTCAAGGTAATCTTTAAAGTTCATCGCGTACCTTATCCTCTCCTGTATTCGCAGACTCTCCAAAGTTAATCTTGTTTTTTTTTTCTCGTCCTTCCACGTCCAAGATTATGGTGTTCTTAAAATCTGCTATGTGTTCACTATTCGTCAAGTGCTGTGCAAATGCGTCTTATTATTTTTCGCGTCTGCTTGGTGCTTACTAATTCTGACTCCAAGGGCTCGTTTAGTCGTGTCGCATTTTGTTGCAGTTTTCGTTGGATTTCATAAACCACGTTATTTGGTTCTTTGTTTATGTCGTCTTTTTTTTAGTTTGGTGAATATTTTGTTGAAATCATTTCCGTCTTGCAGCAAACGTCCCGCGAGACGGCAAAAAGCAAAGTCCCCGATAGTTATTATGAGAAGACGAAAATAATTCCATGGTAAATAATAGTCCGGCGAGACGAAAAAAAAATAAATGTTACAGATAATTATTAAAAGATGAAGATTTTGTCTAACGACTTTTCCATTGGTATTGTACTTTTTACCACTTTATGGCTCCTATAGGACGAAATCTCGGCCATAACTTGGAAAATCTACCTTGTATTAAAGTCCTTTTTGCTTTGGAATTGTCTTGTTGAACCTATAGGTAAGATAACGGCGGTCGTCATATGGCCATAGCCTTCCAATTCCCGATAACGTCAATAACAGCGATGTACTACTAAACAAACAAAAACATTATCTGAGCTTTGAAGATTAATACTGATGTAAAAAAAAATTTGCGAAAAAACGAGCAGGACAGCCACTGTTGAATAGAAACGATTCACCAAAAGTTCATATGGTAGATAACAGTAAGGAAGATTTTAAATTATCAGCGAAGTTGAGTTGAATATGTTACCATCCAACAATTGTCGCTACAGCAAGCACCCTGTACATATAGTCACCAACTTTATGATTAACAAATTTACATCAAACTTACACAGAACTCTCTTTAACATTTTTCAGGCCTTGATTCATATCGTCTGTAATCTCTTTCCACATGGTAATGCCCAATTTGCGTTTCAACTCTGAAGAATGTCGTGTTTTCGATGCCAATACTGTACGCAGCGTATTTATCTCCTCTTCGACACGTGCAAGTTCCTACAAGACAATATTTTAGAATGATTATACTTGAATTGAGCTATTAATTATATGTAGCAGCTTACTTGACTCCATTCGGCACGTTGTCTTTCCTGCTCTTCAACAGTGAGCGCAGCAAACTCGGCAGCAATATCTGCGGATGCAACAGATGCAACTGGAGATGCAGGCTCCGACAGTTTCGAAGTATTATCTAATTTATGAGGTGTTTGCAAGTTGAAGAGAAATTTTAAAACGAATTATTTGATTTATGTATATTATAAAGTGAGCAATATTCATCTAACGTCACAAACTGCCGATAAAAGTTATAAAATTAAAAATTTCTATGGCATTATAAAATTATAAATCTTTAAGGAAATTATAATTTTATCGCGTTTATCTGCAGTTAATCAAATTAAATGAATATCCCTAATGTATTAAGGGTGACTATGATTTTGGTTTAATGGTCTTAAAAAATTTCCGATATACATACTAAGATATCTTAAATATTTTGAAAGTAAGTTTAATATTTTGCGCAACAACTTTATGAATTTGAATGTTGAAGGTATTAATAAGGCAAAGTATCAACATGTTTGCCTAGCTTAGTGCTAAAATGATATACAAATCAGTGAGCATAGTAAATAAGTAGATAAAATATGGAAAATGTTTGAGCTTAAATTGTTCGTACAATCATGCATACTTGAAAAACCCTTCATCACATATATATATGTACCTCCTTGAAAGACAACCTCCTCGAAAACTCTATCATAAGCTGAATATCGATTTAATTAAGCAAAAAAATATCCACAAATAACTCAAATTTGTATTGGTATTGAATATGTATGGGTGTATCTTAGATTTTCATATTAAAAAATATATGTATTCGTATATTTATACTCACAAACTTCGAAATTGTATGCAGCGAATGTGGGAGAGAGAAGGCAGTAAAAGGAAGAAATAAATGCAAAAATACCGTTAAAATTGTATGCATGTATCATAGTAATTAGCGTCTAAAGAAATTAAATTAATATTTTTTTTTTTTGTTCAGAAACTACATTTAACTGTTGAATGTCTGACTGTGGCAAATTGTTCGTATTATAATAAGAAATACTATAATAGTGCTGCTACAGCATTTATTTGGTGGCCAGCAAATAACTAAGCAGCAACTAGATTTTTAAAAGAGCCAACATACAGAGAAACACGCACATATGTACCTGCACATATACACATACTAGGTGTCTGTATTTACAATACTTATGCAATAAGTATGTATAAAAATTCATGAAAATGGTTATCAAAAACAAGGAAAACGCAACGCATTTTGGCGAGTGAGCTCACATTTGGTAACAATGAATTAAAACACAAATGAAAAATCAGGAATTTGCGCTTAACAAACTTTACTAAAAAGACATTCAAAAGCAAAAATTGTTTTTCAAGAAAGAAAAAATGGAAACGAACCAACCATGAAATTTCTGCGCATGATACCTACACCATCATTGTACATGCCTACAATGGCCTACACGATTTTGCCGAGTCGGTATGTAACTTTGAGGTGTCTTAATAATGCCACGACTCAATTGTTTTTTTTTTCATACTGAAAACTTAAACTTTTAAAAGCTCATTTCACAAGGCAAACCCTTCAAACAATTTTCTGAGTGCCCAGAATTTTTTTACCCGAGCACTTTGTTCACACAACGGTTGTTTGTAACAGGCAAAACGAATCGAGATAGATATAGACAAATGTATACACAAATGATCAGAATGAAATGAGAAATCGATTAAGCGGTGACTGTCTGTCCGTCCGTCCGTCCGTCCGTCTGTGCACACGATAACTAGAGTAAAAATTGAGATATCTTAACGAAACTTGGTATGTGCACTTCTTTCTGGCGTAGGACGGATGGTATTGAAAATGGGCAAAATCGGACGAAAACTATGCCTACCTCCCATGTAACGGTAATTTTGAGAAATACGAAAACTGCGATATTTTAGTAAATACTGAAGATTATTCACTTAAAATTGATATTTGCATTAATTTTTAGACGAAAAATAATATTATAAATTTTTGGAAAATGGGCGTGGCCACGGCCACTTATGGCTACATGCGTATATCTTGGTAACCGCTGTACCTATTTCTTCCAAATTTTGCACAGTTGTTGGCCTTGGTACAACCTACCAAAGCGCTGAAAATTTGTAAAACCGGACAATAACCACGCCCACATCCCATATAACGGTAATTTAGAGAAATACGAAATCTTCGATAAATCAGTATATACGGAAGCTAATTTATTCAAAATTGCTGCGTGCAATAATTCTTTACCAAAAAATACGTTTATAATCAAATTTCGGAAAATGAGCGCAGCACCGCCCACTTATGACTACATACATATGTGTTTCTCGGTAACCGTTCGACCAATATGTAGCAAACTCGGTATGATTATTGTACTTGCCACATAAAAGCAAAACGTTGGAAATAATTGGAAATGGACTAAAATTACGCCCACTTTTAATATAACGGTAAACTTCTGAAATGCTTGATATCTCGATATTTCGAAATTTAAGGACGCTAATTTAGTCAAAATTTATACTAACAACAATCCCTTGAAAAGAAGTAACATTATTATGGAATTTCGGAAAATGAGTATGGTACCGCCCACGTATAACTATATACATACATAAGTTTATCTCATTTGGCCTAACTTAACTTTCTATCGAAGGTGTTCGAAATAGGTGTAAAACCACCCGTGCTTACCGTGAAGCGGTAGTTTTCGGAAAGGTGAAAAAACTATATTTAATACTACCGCCAGGTATTTAATGTTCGGCTCCGGCTATGCTTTTACTAGCAAGTTACTGGATATTTTTTACTGGAGAATATGTACATGAACAGAGCTAATGAGAAAGTTATAACTCTGGCAAGTATATCTTTATGGAACTGCGTATTCCTACTTATTGCCGTATGTTTTCCTGTAACTTTTCTCTAACAGTCTTTAATTTTCATAATAGAATTACCGATGAGTCGCAAAATAACCACCCATTCAAAAGTCGCCAAAGCAAAAGCCATATGATTCGAAAAAATTGCATACCTTTGGCGCTGTTAGTTTTGGTTGTTGTTGTTGTTGCTGTTGTGTTTGATGTAGTAGTGGTTGCTGATGGTGAGCCAATATTCAAGAATTTCTTGTAATTCTCACTGCTCGATATCTTAGCCAAATACGGCTTAGAGAAATCAATAAACGTCACCTTAACTTCGCGCATTGTACGCTTTGTAAAGAAACGCAAGCGCAAACGTTTCGCTATCGAAGAGGAAGGCAATTGCTTAGCCAATTTTGTTGCTACAAACTCTGTTTCGACAGCTTGCAATTCAAGTGTATTCGTGTAGTCCGAGTCTATGTCGTAGAAAATTTGATCTAATGTTAAATTCCTTAAATACTGTTCAGTCTCGTTGGTCCAATCGGCCAATTCGGAGAATGTTTCATCCGATTCGGTAGGTTCATCCAGAGATGGTGTTACAATATTGTCCAATTTCGGCAGATATGGATCCTCAATGAATTCCAGGCTGACTGGCTCCGAGTCAGTCATTTTCACGACGTCAATGCCGCTGGCAAGCACATGCATGGGCAGAGTGAAAGGTGAAATCTTTGCTGTTGTTGCTGCTATTGTAATATATTATATGTTTTAGTTGATATGTAGTCAATATTATTGGTCTATGCCCGAACATTTGTTAAGATTAATCCACTACGCGCTCATCGCGGTGGCAGAACACAAGCACTTTCTTTCAGCTATCGCAGTTGTAATATCACATTTCATTTTCAGCAAAAAAAAATACTTTTTCTACTCATTTGGAGCAGTTAACACTGTGTAGCAGCCATTTAGCATCCGTAGCGATCATTTGGCAGTCATTAATCATTGCACGTGAATTCGAATGTGAAGCACAAAATCGAAAATGAACTGTTTTACTTTCATTTTTGCCATTCAGGTATAATTATGGATGATATTATATGCAGCTTGCGTCAAACTGAAATGATCACCATCCGCACGCTCAATACGCAATACACTTCTAGCTTCATTTAATTTCGTTTTTCGTCCGATGGCGCGTACAGCTAAAGTATAACTGAGTAACCGCAAATCATAATAAAAGCCAGCTTCAAAAGATAGAAAATGACGAAAATACGAGGAGAAAAGTGTATAAAGCCCGAACAAAGCAAAATACCACTGTGTGTCAGCAACTCCAAACGCTCATTTTAGTTGCCTTGCGTATACTAAAGCTGCTCAGCGGCGCCATTGCCACTCTGGCAGTGGGGAGTCGTGACATGAGGTTGGTATGGAAACCGTAACAGCTATTTAACGAAATAACCGTCCAAACAGAACAAGCCACTAACCAATCAGTTGGCTAACACAACAGCAACAAACAACAACAAACTGATGAGTCAGCAATTTAACTTAACAAAGGCTTAAGCAACAGACAGCCTCTCCTAAGACCACGCAGACATAGAAAGTTTCATACGAAGAACCTATGTAGGCAAGTAATGTATTCGCAATGCTGCACCAAGCCATCAAAACATTCATACAAGTTGTAGCAAACAAAACAAGAGTGTTCGCTATGCAAAAAAACTTTTACAAGTTGGTACCAATTTTTACCAAATCGTGTTCGTTTGGCCAAAAACCCAGTAAAACTTGCAAAGAGAGAGCGCAATTTTGACATTTCATTTGGAGGGGAACAAAAATTTTCCCAGCACGAATTTTCAAGCAGGATTGTGGCACACGATTGCATTTTTGTCAACATTAATTTGAATCAACAAGTTCGTTAAATTTAAAAATGAACAATCTTGTTGCGATTTACTAATGAAAGAAGTATGTAAATATTTGTTTATTCATTTAATTTAATTAATTCCAAACATTTGAAAGGTACTCGGTTGAAAAAGCTGTATTCGTAATCGGAACGCAGGTGGCACCACTGTCGATATAGGAAAATCGACAGTGACAGAAATTGTAGCGTATATTGCGTATAGGTCCTGTTTTGGTTTCCACCTGAAATAATTTAAAAAATTTATTATGCTCGAAATGCAACCGTGGACGCCAGCTGGCAGTGAGGCTTGCTAATGTTTGCTAATTCCTGTTCGCGCAAAACTTAGTAAGTCTCTCTCTTTGGGAGAGTCAGATACCTTATTCTCTGAATTTCGTTACTGGCTAATTCTTACTGGCATTTGCATAGCGAACAGAACTAATATGTTTAGCCACAAAAGCGGTTATTTCAAGCGAAAATATAGCATAGCATACCAACGCGTTACACTGAGATTGCCACATAGCCCGTCTAAGTATTTCTAAAAGGTAAGATTAAAAACGAATACATATCGATGGCTGTGTGGAAGATGGACCTATCTCGGCAGCCTATGTGAAAACGCCTTATCTCAGAAAACTTTTCAAGAACGCCCTACTTCAGAATTTTATTGAAAAACATCCTATCTCAGAATTTAGTTGAAGAACACCCTATTTCAGAACTCGGTTCAAAAAACGTTCTATCTCAAGCGAAAATGTGCTTCGACCGAATTCTGAAACAGGGCGTTGTTGAAAAACTTTCTAAGATAAGGCGTTTTCGAACCGGCTGCCGAGGTAGGTCGATCTTCCACTCACCCATCGATATGGGTATTTCCAATCTGGCGTTACGTGACGCTCGCATGAGAAAATGTTAAAAAAAAATTTAAAATGTTAAAACTTTAAAAAGGTTTTTCTAGAGTTGCATAGCGATTAAATGTCCCCTTATTCAGCTAAAAAATTAATGCTGTTGGTAGTACCGATTTTAAGATATTAGTAAACATACACGCTGGCGTGACGTTACAAAAAACAGAAGTGAATTTTGACTTGGGTTACAAAATTGCAAAACTTTGCGATTTGGGCAAGACTATTTATTTGTATAAAACTTTTTGTAGTAATATTGGAAATGTTTTAGGTTATTTTTACAAGTTTTTAAATTTAGAAATCTTTTCTGCTTTATGTTTAATCAGCTGAATTATCTGACGTGACGTTACCCTGGCGTTACGTTACTAAAATTTCTATTGAAAGTTTTGTTAATATTGTTCTTGAAAGAATTTTTAACGAAAAAAAAAACATGCATTTTAGGTCGAACGCACTTTTTTGACAACAGCGGTTCCATTATTTGCAAATCTTTATCTTATTACGTTTCAACTAAACATGCAACATGTGATACAAATCAGAGCGTAAATACGGGTTCAAAATATTACGGCCCTGGCGCCATCTAACGAGACCATTTTTGGCCTACAAATAAGTTAGATATAGGACTTTAAATTTTTTTTTACGCGGTAGACTTTTCGCTGGAATCGCCCATATGAAGATGCGATTAAGCTTAAAACAATCCATAGTTTTTTGGTATCCGTTCGAAATTTATACATATGTGCATATGCATCACCACTACTGGCTGTTTGGCGGAGCAAAGTATAAAGACTTTGTTAGCGATAAATGAAAGCGCTGTTGGTGATTTTTCTCCCAATTCGAATTTCATATTCAGTGCATTATTATTACCAATATTACCATTTTCTTAATTTAGTTGACTGCAAAATAAAACAGCAGCCATCTGAGCCATTTATTTTGAAAATGGCGTAAGTCACCCTTTCAAAAAAATCTAAATTTAGGAGCAAGACTGTGGATTCAAAATAAAAGTAAACTGCATCAAAATTTCCCTACCACAAATCTTTTTTATTCGTAAGTTGTAAAGCAAAATCTAATTTACGGTTAGTTTAGATGTAACCTAGTATTTATGGTCCGATTTCGTTCATATTTATAAAGCTTGCTTTATTTGTTTTTACCAATAATTTATTTAAATCCTTAAACTTCTGTATAACCTTTTTTACGAAAAAAGCAAAATAAGCTTGCAAAGCGAAAAAACCCCCCAAAAACATAAAATCAAAGATGGCGGAATGTTCCCATATGTACTAATTTAGGGGCAAAACTGTGGATCCATGATCTACGTGTCAAGTTGAGGTAAACTGCATCAAATTCTTTTATTTTCTTTTTGAGTCTAAACTTACTGGGCTACATCTATTTACTAGCAATTAAGGATGTTAATTTTTCAGCTTTTTCCGATCCCGGGATACCGGGATTAGTCCCGGGATTTAGATATTCATTACTTTTCAACAACTTAAATCGAAAAAACTGCTTCTATCTCTCCTACCATAAAATAAATATATTTATTATAATAAATAAATGAGTTTGAAACCTACTTTTTATTTAAAGTGGCGTTTTTATTTTTCTATGACGTTAGGATTTAATTTAAAGTAAAAATATATGATAATTCCAAAAATTATTTAAAAAAAGATATGATTATTTCCAAAAATTATTTAAAAATTCAATGTAATGTAAAATAATAACGTTGGTACCAACTGCAAGAGGAAATTTCTTTAAAATTAAAAAAAAAAATTAAAGTTTTTTGGATTCACAAGGACGAATAGGTAATTTTTTAAGCTGATAAAGTTAGAAGTACGAAATTCATTAACATATAATTTTTTCAAAAACAAATATTGCGAAATTTCAAGGATAAAATTTTAAAAGGATATTTTAATTACTTACCAGTCCTTCTGCATCAAAAACTTGAAACTGTTTAAATTCTGTAGGAGTTCCTCTTAAATTTGATACCTATATGTCTTCTCTAAGCTCATTTCTCTGAATTTTTTAAATAATTTTTGAATTACTGACGTCAGAGTGAAAAATAAAAACGCAACTTTACTATATTTGGCCCATGGTTTCGCGAATGTATTGACATTTGTATTTAAAATTTACTATCGCGGACATTTACAAAAATAGTACCAGTTTGACCGAGCTTTGCCCGCAGTGTATATACGTTTTAAAGTTTTCAAGATTTGGATAGCTTTAAAAAAATATTAAGTAAATTTCTTACTCCATAATTTAGGTGACAACCCCATTCCGAAATACGCTGATTGAAATTAACAAAATTAAAATTTGTATTACATAGAAGAGTGGCAACCCTGATGGAAAATATTTTCTGACCAAAGTTTGTAACAATATCATTCATTTGATATCCACATTGCGATGTTTTAGATAGATTGTGTAGAATCGAAAATAAGTGGCAACCTTACACTATTATCCTAAGAGATAATATTTTGTATATAGGAAAAGCATTGTTTACGAACCTTCTCTGGGTACCCATGAATAGTAATATTTTACCTTTTCTTCTAAACAAAAAATTAAATAAATATGCGATTCAAAATAGGTGGCAACCCTATTAAAAATATTTTTGAACTATGGATCTTTAAAATGCCTTCCATTTGACATTCATATTATGATGTTTTAATTAATTTTTAACTAATTTCGAATAGGTGGCAACCTTATGCAAGTCTTCTCCGAGATAATGCCTCTACAGGTAACCTTAAAATCCAAAACATTATCTAGTATGTACAAAATCAAAATCGTTAGAGCCGTTTCTGAGAACCCTATTGATATATAAATATACAAAAATTGCTCGTTTAATGTACTCAGATATTAATTCTTAAATCAAAAAAAATATAGCCAATACTGGTTAAGAAAAGGAGTTTCTATTATTTCCATCAGTTCAAATTACGACGGTACACGTCCCAGCCCGGAAATAAAGAGCCAACTTTTATTGTATGTATACATGTGTACATATTTTTACCCACTGGGAAAATAGGTAAGCACCTCACGAGGTAAGCCATGTTTTCTTTCAGTTTTTAGTACCAAAATTGTCATCATGGCCAATGCCATCTACTAGTAAAGCACAAAATGAACACCTCCAACGACACATTACGTTGTCAGTTGCAAAGTAACGTGCAGCCGAAGTTATCTCCAAGCGCCGAACTACTCCGAGCGACTTCTCTGCATTACACGTAACTTACTTTGTAAAGCGGCTCAGAAGTATGTCTGATACCAAATGTACATTCTAAATTCCTACTTACATAAGGCGGCCATGCCTTTGTAAAAGTAAGGGACGTTCGGCAGGGAAATGGTAATGACTGCCAGGTGAAGAGTAAGTTGCTAATAAGGTATTATTACGTGCTCCTAATTCCCACTGGGTAATTTTGTGTTTATGTATGTATATGTATTTACTTGAGCGAATCAATTTTTTACATCAAAGCTTTGTATAATATATTTTCTGGGAAGTAGAAAAAGTGGAAAGTATTTTATGTACAGATATGTAAACAAAACTTCTAAGTATCTTATTTTT